TATAAAAATAATCAATTTTTAAATGTCACAGGATGTCGATCAAAAAAATTGGCCCGTATGATAAAAATAAATATTTTATGAAAAATTTTCTCTTCCAATTCATTACATTATATTTTTCGTTAAAATATAATAATTTTCAATTTTTTTTTTTATAATTAACTAATTAATTAAACTGTTATTATTATAAACTTTGAAAATTTAATCATTTGAAAAAGTGCCGCTAAATTAAAAATTTAGCGTTTTTTTGTTTTGTCCAATGTATAAGTGGACTTTTGAATTTATATCAAAGTATTCTCGTCCTACTACTACCAACCGTACTCTAGCTCTCTATCATATCGAAAGCCCAACCTTTGCTTTCTACTTATAAAAATCAAATTTGACTTGTTCTTTAATATTCAAACAACCTTACCACCACCATCACAACACACCTACAATAATACATCCGCTAAATAGTTTCTTCAACAATATAACAATTTTTTTTAAAAAAATCACCCCATCTAAGCAACTATAAAAACCACATCAATACAAAACAATTCTAATTCGAATAAGTAATATTTTTTATTAAGCAACAAATTAATAACACACATTCACAACTTGTACTTTTTTACAAATAAGTATGACAAACAATAAAAAAATTTCATCTCGTAAGCCGGAAGTTAACGGTGTTTCTGCTACTTCATGCGCTAACTGTGGTACAACTACAACACCATTGTGGAGAAGAGCTCCTAGCGGTGAAACCATATGCAACGCTTGTGGTAAATAAATCAATTTATATTCATTACTTTATAAAAATATTTTTAATCTTTATTTATTAATTATTAATCCAATCTTTAAATATCAATAGGTCTTTATTATAAAGCTCGTAATACTGTTCGTCCACTTTGGTTAAAGCGTAATTCCGTTAAAAAACCATCTACCACAACAAACGAATCAACCGATCCCAATAATATTGATTCTAACAACAACAACAACAGCAGCAGCAGCAGCAGCAGCAGCAGCAGCAACAACAACAACAACAACAACAACAACAATTATAACAATAACAATAACATTAATAATAACAATATCAATAATGTTAATATTAATAATGGTGGTGGCACTTGTCCTGGTGATGGTCATTGTGACGGAACGGGTGGGTCTAGCTCTTGTGATGGCTGCCCAGCTTACAATCAACACCAAGTTAATCGACAAGCACTAATTTGTAATAACTGTGGTACAAACACCACACCTTTATGGAGGAGAGATGAACTGGGCAACACTATTTGTAATGCTTGCGGGCTTTATTTCAAGCTTCATAATGTTCATCGTCCACCAATTATGAAAAAAATAATCATCAAGCGTCGTAAACGTGTCCCTCTTCACAACAAATCTTTAGATTCTTATAATCATCATCATCATCATCATCATCCACAACAAAAAAGTAATTCTTCTAATATTGAAAGAAGACATCATCATCATCAAACTCATAAATCATCTTGTCTTAACAAAAATGATGGTAATAACAATCATCATCATCCTCATCATCAATTTACTTACAATAGCCCACCCACTCCTTCTTCAACTTCTTCCGCTTCCGGTTACAATTCTTCCGAAGATGATGATACTTCTCTTGATGGTTTTTCTAATAATTTTGATGAATTTGATAAGTAGTTTTTTGATGAATTTGATAAATATGCATGCATCACGCAATACAAATCAATGAAATCAATGGTGACGCAACAGTTCAATATTTAGCAGTTAATAGAATAACCAATTGCAAGGAACACTCATACAACTCCCACAATAATCACCTTTAAACTTACTAATATCACTTTTCATTTTATCACCAAGTAGAATCAGTGAATTGAGCAATTATGAGTATAAGAAGATATTATGGATGTTATCTTGCGATCAATAATGTTAAAAATCCATCACAAATTTCAGAAAATATATTTGTAAAAGTCATTTCCTCGTTTGATTGAAGGTTGGTTGGCTAGTTAATCTTTCAAATGGTAGCCTTGGATATTTTGCTGTGAAACATCAGAGATTACTATCAGTATCATAAATAATTGTTTTATTCTAAAAGATTTTTTACAAGACTTATTATAAAGAATCTGGCAAAATCGGCTTCCTTTCCCTGATACAACATAAAAGTTAACATCGTATTTGTTTTCTTTGTAGTTCATTTCCATAAATATAAATGAAATCAAACGCTTCCTTCATTCCTGGTCAAATTTGGTAATTAGATGTTTACAATCACAATTGTATCACAAACATAAATGCTTTACAACGTCCGGAATCAACTCCGTTTCCTTTTTAGCAATCAATCCAAAGGTATAAATTCAAATCAGGGCTTTTTTTTTGTTCAGGCTTGTTTTCACTTATTCGAGAAGATATTTCTTTAGTATTTAATTCTTTTTAAATTCTCCTCATTAGTTAAATAGAAGTCAATACAGATGGTTGTTTCAATGCATTTACCAAATTCATTCATAGTATTATTAGTAATAATTAAATTCGCGTAATTTTTATTTAGAATCAGTTTCTTGTATAACCTTTAGATCAGATTTCCAGATTTTTCTTTCGTCAGAGCTGATGTGTTGTCAGCCGCCTTTTGAGTTTTCCAATTAATCTTCAATCATCATCTGTCTCGATTCATATTCTGAGATCAACGAGATTCTGATATTTCAAAAGCTAGAGACTTAACACCCTCCAGTATAATAATTTTGCGTTTACTACTGTCTCTAACAAATTTTTTTAATAATCTAATTATATAAATTCTTCTCTTTCGGTCTAACCAACTATTCCATCATTAGCACAATAGGGATGTGGAAGGTTTCTAAAGTGATATTTAGTGAGTTGATCAATACCAAGTGAAGCTGAAATCTCTTCTTTTGTTGAAAGCGATACATCATCTTTTGTGCAAGTGTATTTTTTCCTGCACCTGATCCACCACCGATTAATATTGACGTTGGTTGTTTATTCTTTGTTAGTCATGATTAATGTTGTCGCCAAACTTATTTTGAAGAGACGAAAGTCAAAACTAAAATTTAAAGTTATATGTCGAAACTAAATCAAAAATCAAACGTCAAACTAGCTTCACACAATTGCGAAACTCTATAATAATAATAATAATAATAAATCAACAGTAGTCAGTATATACTCGTTATAACGAACCTTATTATAACGGATATAACATTACACGAATTTTAACGCTCAATTAACAAAATTTACAATGATGCATAGGATTATTTATATTTATATAAAAATATGAATATGAAACTAATGTATATAAAATCCGCCACGGAACCCAAGAACAACAAGTGAAAAAAATGCACCCATGTTTTAAAATAAATGATACCAAACTAGGAATATTTAGATAAAGAATCACTTATGAGATAAGAAAAAATTATTAATAGGCATTTACACATTTTGATTTGCATCATTTTACTTGAATATGTTTCAGTTCATCGATCTCAATTTGAACGACCCGAATCATAAAGGTTTATTTACGGCTGATGAGTGGGACGAGACCAGTAAATTGATACCTAATTTTGATGATGGATTTATCATGTCTTACATTACGGTTTGTGTTTGCTATTACTTGATATTAAGTAAGCAAAAGTATTTTTGTACAACCTAACATGAATGTCAAAATAGTAACCTAATAACGTTGAATATAATATTTATGATAATGGATGTTATTTAGTACTTGTGTTTCTTTAGATATTTGATAACATTTTTAATGTGAATTTTTTTTACAGTATGCCACTTTAGGAAATGTCACCAATGTATTGTTTGGTTTGTTTGGTTACAAATATAGTTGATAGATTATTTTAATATATAATATTTCTAATTTACAAATTATATATTAGGCGAGTTAAACTAATCATCGATGTTGACTTTAAGCAAATTTCATTTATGTTTAGTATCTGTTCGGTATTTCATCTTCTGATAGACGCAATTAGGAACGAGCTCGAATAGATGTTACGATTATTCATCGTACACTAAGCCTTGAATTAATAGTCATGAAAGCATCAAAGGCTGATTAATTGGAATTTACCGTGAAACTCATATGGAATGATTTAAAAAAAGCATGTCTATACACAATGCAACCAGAGCCAAAGCGGACATTTTAATAGAAAATTCATACATGTCATTATGTGTAATATTATATTTTGTTTTTGCCAAGGTTTGTTCGTGTATTCATATGTTAATGAATCATGCGCTGAAAAGGACAATCAAGCACATCAAACCAAATCATACACAATATGGATGTATTCGGATTATTGCTATCTAGCAAGTGAAAATATATCTGTGATTGTTTTAAAAGTTCCAAAAGAAGTCATTGATTTTGTCAAATGAATTCAAATATTTGTGCCATGTACCAACAACAATGACATATGATGGTATTTATAATCTTATTGAAATTGTAATTTAAACCGGTTTTCTGTAATTTCTAATTTAGTATTTATATATTAATATCATTGTTTGCTCGGGTCTGACCGCCAATAATACAAATTGTACACCAAAAAACACATACTGCGTAATGAAATTTTTTTAATTGCATAACTTTGTATAGTAATTTGGTATCAGCCATTAATATTAAGATAAAATGTTTGTTTCGATCAAATACAAAATTCGTATTGTAACAACAGTGGACTATAATTAAATTCTTGTCATAACGGGTTATAAAATTTTTGCCTCACATATTAATATAGAAACATATAAAAAACCATTGTAATTTGCCACAATATGAAAATTTTTAATGAAATTCACGTGATTTGTGACTCCTAGTTCATCAACATTAAGATCTCGATATTTTTGTATTTTAAAGTCTCTTGAATTCTTGATTGATTATTTGATATTTCAAGAGACATTTAATTGGTGATCCATCTGTGAGTCGGTGAACCAGCTGCGGAAAAACTAATCTTTACACAAAAAAAAAAATCATATAATTTTTTATCCGCACATTCAAAAGAAAAAATTATGTGGTAGGTCAAAATTAAAATACAACTTTTCATATTTGATTCGTTGTTTTTGTGTCATGAAATATGCGATCATTTCATCCAATTTTTTATAATTGCATTTTTTATATCCTATTTATTATCTATGATGAAGTTGGTTGAAATTCTATACAGGTTTTGTAGATCGTTCCTTTCAGAATCATTAATATTATTAAAATCATTTCAATAAGTAGGTGGGTTCTCTAGCAAAACCGGTTCCGAGGTCCTCTGACCAAATTTAAGTTTTTTATATAATAATAACAATAATAATAATATTAATATTAAAATTATAAGATGAAAATATTGATCCTGTTTACTTGATACAGTAATGAAATATAAGACTTGAAATACTACTCTGCAGATATCGTCACTCAAAAGGCCAAGTATTATTTATTATTATTATTATTATTATTACTTGCATTAAAAGTTTCTAGCAACTTCGGGTCCTCGCTTGAAAAAAAGCAGGGAAAAACAAAAACTCCGTAAGATCATCAGCTTTTTAAAATAAAATAATCCTTAATTGACGATCCATCTATTACTATGAATGAACTCTAAATAGGGATCAGCGGTGGAAAACGTCACAATTTTACTAATTGATGACTTTGTATAAAAAAATAGTACTATACTTTAGTAGTAGTAGTATTGTTTTTTATTTTTCGTTATGAATCAAATGTCAACGAACATATCTATGCTTTTTTTTTTTTAAAGAACATCTTGAAGATGTATGTAGAAGATATATATTTTACGTGTGTAACCTATTAAAATAAAATTGATAAGTCGGACGCAGCAATCAATTGTTTAAAGTACTTTATAATATAAATAAATGTCCGACTTATCGAGTTTAGATGTGTAATTAGAATAAGATCGTTTTTAAAAATTAATTTTAAAATTTATCACGTGGCTTATGTTTTTGCAATATATAGTAAAATTGAACAAAAACAAAAACGTGTTTTTGTTTTTTTTATATATTAACGAGTGCATGTACTTTGGTAAAAGGCAACAGTGTAGCGTTTAATTTTGGGCAACTAGTGAGTGTTAACAACGATATTCGCTTTAGAAAAGTGTTGTCCCAAGATTAATTTGTTATCGCAGACGTAAGGTTGAAATATTCACATAATAAAAGGTGCTGTTTCGAATGTGGATCTTCTAAACATCTATATCAAAATATTGTACTCATAATATAAAAACTCACAAGAAACGGCATTTTGTATGAGGATACTACTAATTATTGCAAATAATAATATTTTTTTATTATATAGTAAGAATAAGTATATATAATAATAAGAATATTTTTTTATATATATAAATATATTATAATAATTATTATTCGTATATTAAATGCTATATGCTAAATATGCTAAATTCGATAATAATAAAATTTTAATTTCTCCTAATAAGTTTTTTTTTAATTTGATTTTTTAAAAAAAAAAATTTAAAGCAAATTTATCTTATTTATGATGTACGCACGCACTATCTAGACCTGTAGGAGATTCGATAGGAATAGTGGTACCATCATTATCTAAATCATTATCTAAATTATAATTCAATCTCTTTAACTCAGCCTCAAATTCAACTTTTCCTTTTCAACCAGTTTTCTTCGTCGTTATCTAAATTGCAACCTGCTCTAACCTCAAATTCAATTGCCCTTCTTAACCAACTTTCGTCATCATCGTTAGCTTGGTCATGGGAAGTCTGTTGATTATTCACTTGAAGTTCATTATTATTTTCGGATTTAGGATTTGGAATATGTTGGTGCCATCACTATCGTCATCAATTGATTGATCAAATAGTATCTGATTATTGTTTCAATTTTAAATATTTTCAACTTTGTAAAGTTCAAAATATGCAGATCGATTGTTATTAGTACCATTATTATCGCCATTAACTGGTTGACAAAATAGTATCTGATGATGAAATTTTTTGATTATTGTTTCAATTTTAATATTTTCAACATTGCAAAGTTCATTATTATTGGAGCCAATATTGGCCATATCAATGTTGCCACGGGTCTCTTGTGATGTTATTGCGTTCGTAACACCATCATTGTTGTATAAATCGCCATCGCTTGAACCTAGTTCATATTCAAAATTAGCAGCTTCACGATGATCGTCAGTTTCGTTTTTGATAGAGTCAATGTTGTTTTCAATAATAGATTTATTAATATCATCAGTGTCTGGTACTAATTCCGATTCAAAGTTGAAGTTGTTGAGATTGGTTGGAAGGTTTGTCCTGTAGCGTCATCTGTGATGTTTAAATATATCGGCGTGCTTGAAATATCATTGCCGAACACAATAATGCTGTCAACTTCCTTTTTTGGATTGTTACTAACAACTTATTCGACGTGTGAGCTAGTGTTGGTTTCCAAAACTAGAGTTTTGCAACTGTGCAAAAGTCAAAAGGTTGCGCCATAAGTCAAAACTGGTTTTGATTTTTGACTATTGATTTTTGATTTAGTTTTGACATATAACTTTTTAATTTTAGTTTTGATTTTCGTCTCTTCAAAATAGTTTTGGCGACCAATACTAATGTGAGCCTACATCATTATTTGTTGTTTCAATTATAAAATAAACAGCAACAGCAGGCTCAAGAACGGTAATTTTGTCAGTGTTATTTGTGCCAACATCGTGTGGAACATTTTAATATCTTATCTACATTTACGCCAACAATTTTTTTCTTTTCCACGTTTGGAAGCATCAGAATGTAAGCAGAAATAGGTAATAAAAACATTGGCGATATTGCCATTAAATATTGAAACAAAATAATTGTTTTAAATATAAATACTGTCAACTTTAACAGAAAGGCAATCTCGTATAGAACAGGATTGGCAAATGTGTAGTCCATTGGATCCATTAATGTAACATATTTAATATTCTATTAATGGCAATGGATCAGGCAATTTGCCAACCCTGGTGCAGAAAGATTATTTGTTTGATAGCTGATATAATTATTTGTATATAATAATAATGATATTTTTGTTTGTTTTTGAGAGAAAGAATTACAAGTTTTTTTATTACGAGAAATTTTTTGAGAAAAAGAGGTTTCCATAGGGGTTTTTATAAGAAAAGTCTTGATGGGAAGTTTTTTTGGTTTTTTTTTTCTGAGAAAAAAAATTTTTTAGACAAACAAATTTAACATATGCAAAACCACGAGAATAAAAAATGTAGTGAGTGACGTAACTTTATGCGATTGATGTAGATATTTTTGATGTTGTCGTAATTTTTTGTTAATTTACCACAAATACAAGGGTCATATTGATCAATTATCGTTTGATCTGGTAATTAGTATTAATATATTAGGTATATATTAGGTTAGAACAAAGCAAAAACCATGAGAACAAAGTACAAACATGTAAAATCTTG